TAGGATATACAACCCTTTATTCAACATGTGCTGCAGTGATCTGACAGTAGGGTATACAACCCATATTCAACATGTGCTGAAGTGATCTGACAGTAGGATATACAACCCTTTATTCAACATGTGCTGCAGTGATCTGACAGTAGGGTATACAACCCATATTCAACATGTGCTGCAGTGATCTGACAGTAGGGTATACAACCCTATATTCAACATGTGCTGAAGTGATCTGACAGTAGGGTATACAACCCATATTCAACATGTGCTGAAGTGATCTGACAGTAGGGTATACAACCCATATTCAACATGTGCTGAAGTGATCTGACAGTAGGGTATACAACCCTATATTCAACATGTGCTGCAGTGATCTGACAGTAGGGTATACAACCCTATATTCAACATGTGCTGTAGTGATCTGACAGTAGGGTATACAACCCTATGTGCAACTCTTGGAGTTCCCTATGTATCCCCTATGATAAATAGAGCTAGCTAGAGCTGGCTAGACTTGCTTTTGTATACGTTCTAGATCCTGGTCATGGTTTACATAAATGCCTATTCAGTACACATCTAATTAGTTTTAAAACATTCATATCCGGTTAATTAAATTGAGAAGACAAAGGTGGGAGCACCAGTTTTTCCGAACAGTATTTATTACACCCATCTGACTATATTGAGAAGAATAAGAATGTAAACTGACAAATAATGAGATGCTGTTAATGATGTGATGTCTTCTATAGTCAGAATATATTCTTGATACTGTGATACATGCCTCCCCAAACAAAGGTACTTACCGATATAAGTGCATACTTAAAATTGGTTTCAGAATGATTTTATATGCAATCAAAAGTAGTTAGGTCTATTCACAAAGCATATATTAAAGCTTATTAAGTGTAAGACATTTCCTCACACAATTCTCAACCAACTTTCGAACTTACAAATTGATGATGACTACAATGAGTTAAAGTCAATGTGATTTGTAAGATATTTTTTATTAGTTTAAACAATATTTATTTCTTCTTTGCATGCATAAAACAACATTTTGAATTTTTGGATTCGATAACAATTTATTTTTATCTACACCGGGGTACATTCTGGGAACTCCAACATTATACCCCCTAGGGATTCATTCTGGGAAAGGGGGGTAGATTCTGGGAAGACCCCAAAATCTACCCCGGGTATACTCTGAAGGGGGTAGATTTGGGTAGCTTACGCTGGCTATAGCACATGACTTGCACCAGACACAACTGACCTGGAATAGCAGCTGTGTTATTTGATTTTCACCACTGCTTTAAAGAATAGAGATTCCTATAAAACATGCACTATCAATAGCTGATCCTTTTCATGCAATCAATAATAATAATCATACAATGATGGCTTGACTTTAATGCACGAACACATCTTTTGTTTGAAACACATTCACTGTTAATCATCCTGTCATGAATTGACCAACAGTCATAAACGTGTTCACAAAGACTTTCAATGGCCAGAGATTCAAGGCCACCCTGTGTGATGGTGGCCTGGGATAATATTAGCTGGGATATAAGATTAGGATCACAATCATGGGGATATGATAAAGAATTTGTTCACTATCTGACAGTGCTATTCACATGTACATGACGTACAACATGAATAATGCAGAAAAACAGCCATATTTTACCAAAAATAGAGTGCTGGAAGGTATTACCAGAGAAGCCTCTCTTACCTAAACAAATTTAATTTCGACATTTTTTCTCATATTGCTGACCAATGACTTCCCCTACCTGAAGACATATTACTGATAAGCAGAATCTTGATAAAATATGAAGATTGAAAAAGTATCCAAAGGCAGCCACCAGGCAGCAAATCCTTGCACATGAATCATATATTGACCATGAAACCTACAAAGATAATAAGTTTGGTCCAGACTGGGATATCCTTGTACAAACTTAACATCGAGTCTATTTACATCTTGCATCATTCAAGAACATACAAGCTTTGAAACTTTGAGAACCTGATTTTCAATTTTGATTGGACGAATGTATTAGATGCGCATCCATAAAACAAAATGAACCCCAAATAAAACATTCAACTCAAAATGCAGCGATGATCATTGCTAATATTACTGCCCCATGAAACATTGCTTCCACGGTCCATGACGCGTTATTAAAAATCATTTAAATATGTTAGCATATTTTTGTTCACCCAAATCTAGTTCTGACCTGGAAAAAATATCAGAATGAAACACATAAAATTGAAAATGTTCCGAAACTGTAGTGACAAGTTCCAGTTGACTGGAACGAATGTTTGGGTGTGTTCCCGATAGTTAATTAATGATAAAGAAAAATGTGATAACATGTAATTATGACAGAAAGGGATGGAATGCAGAGCCCTAAACGCAACCAAAATCAGAATACTGCTGCACAAAAATTCCATGAGATGACTGTATTTATTATATCAAATAAATTAAACAAGAACGCCGTTGACAGTGAATACTATGGCTGTCGGGATGAAGTCTCCTGAAAACTTCACAGAAATTGAGAAAAGGAGAATATGTTTTACCATGGTAACAGAGTTATAGAAAAAAATTATTTTTTAATGAATTGTTTATGTTGTTCCAATGATAACGGAAATGTTAAATGTAGTTTTACACATAGAGCATTTGTTCCAACCAGAAAAAAATATATTGCAAGATTTGCTCTATGTTTAAAATTCCTGTATCCTACCTCTCTTCCCCCTCCCCATTCCTCTAAAATAACAACATAACAAAACCCAAAACAAAACAACCAAGCCCCATTTTTTTAATATAGCCTTCTTTTAAACACCTGACAGTTTCACAAGGTAGAACATATGTGTGTGAAAGTTCCTGTATGACCCGAACAAATGTCAGTGTGATAAAAACCAATCTTGACGTGATATACACCTCCAAAGAAACAAATGTTGGTAGTTAAAGTTCCACCTGAACTTATATCAAATCCTGGTTACATAAATTTACAAAACCCAAAACAAAACAACCAAGCCCCATTTTTTTAATATAACCTTTTTTTAGACACCTGACAGTTTCACAAGGTAGAACATATGTGTGTGAAAGTTCCTGTATGACCCGAACAAATGTTTGTAGTAAAAGTTCCACCTGAACTTATATCAAATCCTTGTTACATAAATTTATAAAATGCCTATCTGTGATATGTGCAGATCATAAATATTAGTAATTCCAGTAATATTCTCTTTCATTACTCCCCTGTTGATTTACAACTATTTAATAAACAGACAGTTGATCCTATGTATGGCATCAGAAGCGGACGGGACTATTTTGGTCATCAGCTGGTTATTGGAATGGAAGTGCCGGTAGCACAAAAAAGCAACACCTCTGCTGCCAGACACATTACCTACTCCCGAGGGATCTCCCACCGAGCATTATCACAACATTCATTGCTGCACTCTACATGGCTTTCTTTGGGACCATTTGTGGTGTCCCCTGCCGTGATGCTGCTGGAATATTGCTAAAAGTGGCGTTAAACCATACATACTCACTCACTCACTCTTTGGGACCACTGATAATTTGATGAGTGAACAAAACAATGACAATGGCAATCAACATACAACTTCATCTTATACCAGTCAAGTACAGCATTCAATCAACTATATCCTACTCAAAAGAAGATAAAGAACATCCGATTCTTCCACATCTATAGCTACATTGTCATGACAATATGAAAATTGAATGAGTTCCAGTGAATTTTTTATCACATTCACTTAACAAGTGAAAATTTGTCGAACATCATGTAACATCAACCAGTCCTGATACCTGATTGACGAAGCCCATCAAAGGTAGAAAATTTAATTGTAATCACCGCAAACCTATAATTACATTCCACAGTTAACTTAGCCATTTGTACTTGACTGGAGATTTCTCTCACAGTTGCTAATTATAAGATCAAAAGTGAATGTATTTGGAAATTTATATTACCTAATATAAGTCTGTGATAAAAGCAAACCAAATTAAAGTCAAACAAAAATTTCGGACAGCATTCGACACAAATTTGTATATTTTGTTTTGTCTATATCCAAAGCCTCCTCCTGTAATCTGCCATTTAGAAGAATCAATTCTTTTCCTTAAAATGAATAGTATGGATCACACTCTTATTTTTCCCGATTTGCATGAATGAACAAGAGAGCTGATCGAGCTGATCAAAATATTTCTGATTATAAGAGTCCATATTATGTTGAGTCATCAAAACAGGCCTCTCCAGTCACCTTGGCATACATACACTTGCCATTACAGGTAATCAATGCTCTCATTAGGGCCTTGCATCAGCAGCAAAGTTCCATATTGACCTCACTACCAGCCATTGTTGCTCCCATAACAGTTGGGATGACTCATGGTTTTTTTCTTCAAAATTTTTAATACACACCACACTCCTTTACAAATGCTGCGTGGCCTTTGGAAAATACAGAGAGAACGATGCCTGATGTGTGATTCAACACACGACAGCCGTTCTGATTGTTCTGGACATTTCGGTATATTGTCCATCAGTCATGTGACTATGTTTTCATGTTCTTGCACCAAAAGCTGCAGAATTACCTGCAATTGGGTTAATCTATCCTCAAGGCAGTTAATCCAAATCTGTCCGATTTATGAACTGATTTGATTATTGAGAAATGTTACAAGACTGTGTACAACATTGGACTGAATCAATAGTGTCCTCTCCATATATTCACAGCTGATCAGCTCTCCCACGCTGCAGGACAGATTGCATAGAAATCACATGCCTCGATCTCAGTCAAAACACAGCTGTGAGCCTGTTGCTTAATTGTTTTAATGTAAAACAAAAATAACGTAGTTGAGAAATCCCATTGATTTTGTTGTTATTCACCCAAGATTAACATCTGAACATGTACAGTGTGTGTGAGTGTATTGATCACTGCATGTTGTTACACAGGGGAAACTTGTATGGTCGTGACTGAGGGAGTTCCAATGCTGTAGGGAGATACGACAGTTATCAACCATCTGTGCTAAAACTCACCTTGTGACGAGAGCAGTCGACGCGAATAAGTCCCACACCACCTCACGTGTTGAACATAGACTTCACGTATCCACACGTGTTTACCATGACACAGAACCGTGAGCTAATACACTGCTTTTCAAATACAAGTTCAATAAAATGTTGCCTAGTGGAGCGAATCATGTGTGTGGCCGTACCATAAGACCGTCAAACAATGACATGCCTCAAGCCTGGCTTGCTTATTAAAGTACACTCCATGTCGGACTTAACGGAGTGTAACAGCTGGCCTAAACAGGACAACAAGCAGTGATCAGGTTTACCTGCTCAGGTTAACGACAGGTAATTATACAGGTGTTAACCTGCAATTAGGATCTAATGCCTAGCGGTCAAAACATCCCATATTACCTCCAATAATGGATCATGTACATACTGGTCAAATGATATTTTACATCGTCGTAGATATTTATTTCAAAACCGATGTGGATCTCGTACCTACATTACAGCGTTCATGGTCGGGTGCCCACAACTGAGACAGCACAGGGTACTGCAAGACACAGCTGATTCTATTTTTATCACATATTCTTATATTCACATTCGGAGAACATGGATTTGTGCTGTAGGGTGCAGTAAGCTCCTCATTTGTGATTGGTCTTCCATCCACGATCAATGGTAGCTCTCATGAACACAATTCTATACATACAGCCACACAATTGATTTTCATGCTATTTTGAGATTTATTTTTTAGGTTTTTCAAAAGGAATTTATGGCAAAATTGGGAATTTTGCACATTAAGAATAATTTTGTTACCCTCTGTGTGAATATAGTTATTTGGGTATTGTTTTGTGATATTAGGAGGGATCCTCTGATAGTAATGACAATTGTTAGCTATCATCACAATGGGTACATGGAAATGGTGCTGCAGTTAACAGTTGCCACTACTCTTCTTGGGATAGTGAATCGCTATCCTAGAGTTGAATTAGGCCAAGTTCATTGTAGTTTTCATGGAGATTTGAAATTATTCATCAGTTTCATCTGACTGAAAGAAGCATTTTTATTACTTTAGCACTAAGATATTCCAATATCCATGAAAACTTTTAGATTTTATAGAAACTTTTTTCAAACATATTTTACCATCAGCTATTTATTTGTTGACTTATATTTTTACACATATGCATTACTCTATACTTGATGTTGGGAGTCTTTGAAAGTTAAATCTAGATGTCAGGCATAGGTCTACTTTCCACCATTTCCATAAAAATATCAGTTTTAATGCCTTGGCCCCTGCTGAGACCCTTATCCAAACAAAGGCAAAAAGTGAGCAGGGCTCACTAATACCCCCGACTGAGACTCCAACATGTTACTAAGTTCCAAACATAAAATCAGAAAATCCACTTATCATAATCAAACTTTGCACTGCACCTCCCCTATTAATATAGAAACTATGCCAACAATTGGAAAAGAATCTATGAAGTAGTTTGAGTGAGTTGGTAGTGAGTGAGTTGGGTTTAACGCCGCTTTTAACAGTAGTCCAGTCAGGGGTATAATAATTGATTCACACAATGGACCCTTAATTCCATCAAAGCAGCCTCAGGCCTCAAAGTTACAACTAAAATGGTCGCCAATGCGACCTAAATTTCAATTTGTCTACTGTCTAAAATTCAGAGGTAGCCAAATGACTACCTTGAAAAATATCTTGTGGCGACTAACTTCTATTGCTACACATTTGTGGACACAAAAATAAACATGTCTGCTACTAATTGTACTCACAAATAATTCCTCCTAAAGTCAACAATGAACCGAAATACATAAATATTAATGCAATTAGCATTTTATTTTAGTTGATAGTTTATTGGATAAGCAAGGATATACCTATATAATCTAGTAACATAAATTGCACCATTGCTCGAGTCACAAATAACAAAACTCAAGTACAGCATGTAAAGTTTCCACTAATATACAATTCCAAGACTAGTGCAATGACTTGTACATGTAATAGTTATTTGATAAAATATAATTTCAAACGAATTGGGCTACGTACAATATTGGCTTGACTTCTTGATTTTACCACTGGCTACCTGGAAAAAACTACTTGTAGCCATATGTCTACTTGGTAAAAATTTAAACTTCGAGGCTTGCAGCCTTACAGCTGAGGGGACCCAGGATTTGTGCACAAGTGTTACAGTACCTTAAATTATCCATTGGCGTGTGGTGAGTTTTGAAAACAAAAATAACTAATCGTACAGCCATTCTTCCAACCTATGAACAATGGTGCACAGAACAGTGTACCATCTGAGACACCAGAAACCCACACCTGTATTCATCTGCTGGAAGCAAAGATGTCAGACTGTAACCATCATCAGCCATGGTGTGTTATGGTGTATTAGGCCAATAGATCTCACTGTAGATGTGATAAATATGATTCATTTAATGCAACAAATCAATAAGTTCATTTTGAGAATTTCCTTTTTTTTGCTATTAAACTACTATAAATAGACAATGCCATTTAGAAAGTGGTCAAATGTAACAAATGTTACATTTGGGATAACACTTTCTGTGTAAAGTACAAATTCTAGAACTTTTTGTGGAAGCCTCGGTGGCTGAGTGGGTTAGATCACTAACATTGTGTGCTGGTGATTAGGTGCCTCACTATTGGAGTGGGGCGGTCGGGTAGCCTAGTGGTTAAAGCGTTCGCTCGTCACGCCGAAGACCCGGGTTCGATTCCCGACATGGGTAAAATGTGTGAAGCCTATTTCTGGTGTCCCCCGCCGTGATATTGCTGGAATATTGCTTAAAGCGGCTTAAAACCATACTCACTCACTCACTCACTCACTCACTATGGGAGTGTGGGTTCGAATCCCGAAACGGACTCAACCCCCAAAAGTATTAGAATCTGTACTTTACTAAGAAAGTGTTTTCCCAAATATAACATTTGTTATATGAAACTACTAGGAAAATACTTTTCATATTGAGAAAGTACAAGAAAAACAGGTTCATTTTCATGTAAACTTGTCCTTTAGTATTAGGGTGATCTGATGTAATTGTGGCATAAGACAATGTGTAACACAGTTTCAGAACATCTGCGGAATACAATCCATATCCAACGTCAACTCAATCTGCAGTTCGTCATAAGCCCCATCCAGCTCAGACCGACTGTTCTAACACTGCGCTGTATGCCAGGCATATTTCCCACGTATTCTTAGTCTGACCCTGGCATGATGTCCCTATTAAACACTGAGTCGAAACTGATCACCAATTTCACTGAAAATGGGAACTGCATGTTTACGCAGGGAGGAATCAACTAGCAATATGTGGCCATGACTCAACATGCACTAGATTCATGAATGTTTACATCAAGCTGCCTGCTTTGTTAAGAATTTCACTTTGTTTGTGTGTCACAGTATACATATTTTATGATGCATTTAATGATCTTTTCTCGATAATCCTTTTTACGTCCAAACATTTTCTTCCTGACAACACAAACGTCCTCAGCAATCAATAGAGCCATCATCCTCGACCATTCAATTGGTATCTTCTTAACATAAGTCTTGATCTCAAAAGAGTATTCCTCAAGCACAACAAATCCAAATACATGTTTAATGTCAGCGCAAGCCATTTAGTCTCTCGCTCTCAGAATCACAACTCTTAATGGGCATCATACTCTTGACACAAGAACATCGGCGAATACTAATGGCTATGAAAAATACTGAAAACATTTACCAGTGTAAAAAGAAAAAGTTAAAAGTTGTACTTTTTTGCAGTTTATAAAGGCCAGTCATCCTTGCTCCAGTGTCCTGTATGAAATGCTCTATTGTTTTCTTAAGGACATAAACCAATAATCAGTTTTGGTATCATGATGAGCACGTTCAACACAAATGATCTTTATCTTACTGTTTCTGTGAGTGAGTGAGTGAGTGAGTGAGTGAGTGAGTGAGTGAGTGAGTGAGTGAGTGAGTGAGTGAGTTTACTAAAAAAAAATCCCGAAGTCAGTGAGTATTATACATCCCGACATGGTCCCAGCAATCCTTGAGCCGTTACAAACCCCAAGTTGTGACACCCACAGACAAGGCAACCACACACAGATGGGCTTATAATGAATAAACAAAAAAACAATGTCTGATATTATCCGTTTCAATGTTTTGGCAAGTCAAAACTGGTAACAATGACAGCACTGCTCTGTACCAAGTAGACAATATGGAGGACACGTGTCAATCTGCTTGGAACGTGGAAGAATGGATGCCTTTCATTTACAACACAGCAGTCACTGGGGGAAAGCAGGGCAAGTGGAACATGTTCCGTAATACCCAAGATGCACTGGGTAGGTGTCGTACCATTCCTCTGATTACCTGACTGCAAGAATAACTAGGAACGAGTTGATTACATGACAGAACACACCCTCTGTTGTTTTTGCACAGCCGATCAATCGGTACTAAATTAATCACGGCCTAATAACTTACACGCCCACAAAGTACAAACATTGTGACAATAGTGACACACCTACTTTCGGTTGCAGTACGCATTCATAAAAAAATGTCATATGAATAATTATCATCTTCAAATACAGCTATGAAAACCTGTTCCGATTCTGACCTTTGGTGGTGATTGGCTTGTGAAATATTCATGTAGCCAATACACAGGTGTTATAGCAGGACAATTTACAATAGCACAATAATAAATGTTTGATAATTTACCTACATTTTTATAAGAAAACCAATTAATTTTGACTTTATTTTCATTATTAATCAATATTTAAGAATATTTTGATAAACATTGGCTTTTGGTTAAATGTAGGTTATGTCAGTAAAGCCAATGTTATCAGCACTGTCTTTTTAAAAATACATAAGGTTATTTTTAATTCTCAAAGAGATCAGTGCATAAAAATATAAGATTCAAGATAAAATAATATTCAGGAAAATGAAACCCTAATATGGTTTGAGGTCTAACTTAGATGGGGGAAAACATTGTGTCATGAGTTTATTAAAAATGTTAGTAAATTTTGGGAGCTTACATATGCTTTACCGCGCGTTATAACTGAAGCGCAATAACGAGGGAACACTGTACGTAACAACTTGTAATGTGTGTGAAAAGTCGTACAAAAATACGCTATTTGAAGGGGGCTTGGCCTAAATGCAAATGTCCGATTGGGATTTTAAATTTCCGGACCCCTGGGTCTAAGTCTATATGATGCAGGTATAAAACACTAGTACACTGTATCCACTCGTA